CTTGAGCAGAGGACCCAGCTCAGCCATGACCAGACCCCTGACCCACAGAAACTGTAAGTTAATAAATATGTGTTGTTTTAAGCCACTAAGCTTGTAACAATTTGTCACCTAACAATAGAAAACTAATACATCTACACAAGAAGTTCTTTGAATTTTATTTTAAATTACCTTGAAATTCTAAGTTTCTCCTTAAGAGCTTAGCCTGATGCTAAGAATCACCTAGGATGCTAAGTAATGTACAGGTTCCCATGGCTTTTCCTTTGACATTCTTGCTTTGGACATGCTAGGGGCTGATACAATCTGTGTGTGTGTGTGTGTGTGTGTGAGAGAGAGAGAGAGAGCATGCATGCGTGTGCACACATGCATGCACAGCCTCCTTTTGCTGCCCTGGGTCTCTTCTCAGCTCAGAGATAGCATGGAGACATTCCCGCCTGCACCCTAAGGGTGGCTCCCATGTAATCCACGAAGGGGGTCCCACTGAGGAGGAGCAGGGAGGCAAGATGACACAAGGCTTCGGGCAAAGCAGTGATGAGCAGACAGTCCCTGTGGAAGTGGAGGATTCTTGGAAGTGAGTGGCTAGAGATAAAGGGTGAAAGGTGTGTTGGGGGACCCAGTAATGGATGGCCTTTTATTCAGCAGTCAGTGAGGAGTTTTTGAAGGATCTGGAGTACCAGTGTGGGTTGCGGAAAGGAGTCAGATCAGCTGGGATGGCCTCCCTGCCTCAGCATCCTAGCAAAATGGTAACAAGCGGTGATTCCGGGGGACAGTGCCCTCCCCTGCAGTTAGGACTTAGGATAACACCTCACCCTGAGTGGACAGCATCTCCCTGGGCAGCTGCCTGGGCCTGGGCTCCCTCTGCTACCCTCCCAGGCACGACCACTCAATGACTCGTGGTCACTGCCTCTGGAGTGTCTCCACCGCACCCCTGCAGCTCACCCCTACTGCCCTCCCCTAAAACTGCCCAGAGTCCGATAAGTGGGGATGTGTAGGCTGAAGCAGCTAGTTTTCCCCAGGGCCTGCACCCTCTCCTCTTTCTCAACGTGACTGGGTCACAGCCCAGGGTCCTGGTGCCTCCCTTGGCCATCTCCCTCCCTCTCCTGACACCCAGCTTCCCTTCTCCCACTTCTGACACCCAGATTTCATGTGCTCCAGAGATGTCCTTTTGTGAAAAATTTATTCATTCACTCATTCAACTTTTATTGGGAAATCAGTATTTTGCCAAGCACTGTGCTAAACGATGGTGATAAAAGGTAAGAAGTAATCTCAACCCTCAAGGATGTCCTTCTTCTTGAGAGGGAGAGAGCCGGAGATTGATGATATAAACAGGCCATTATAACACGGTGTGTAGTTTGCCACGGGAACACAAAGGCTGAAGCCTCAGTGGCCAGAGATGGTCAGACAAAGCTTCCAGAAAAGGGTAATTTTTAAAATGGATGATCGGCAGTGAGTGAGCCACACAGGAAATTAAATGTCTGAACCAAGGGGGGAGGTCCAATCCATGCAAATGGATTATGGAACAGATCTGAGTTCCTTTAGGAGAGAAACGAAAAGACTTTAAAATAACCAAGTATGGAATAAAATGAGATGGAGAAATCAAAGAAAACTGAACTCTGAGACTGTGATCCTGGAAAAATGATGGAGTCATTGATAGGCATGGAATTCAGCAAGAATACCACTTTGAAGGTGGGGGGAAGTGAGGGGTTAAACACATAGAGATTCCAGTGTTTAGAGAGGCAAGTGGAATATAGTTCGGAAAAGTACTGTCAATGCAGGCTGCATCAACATGGCTTTATTGTGTCATGTCCGCCAGGGGACCACGTGCCCTCCATGGGGAATGGGCTGGGAGAATGCTTCCTGACAACTAAATATCCTTCCATGGCAGCACTTGTTGTTATGAAATGGGAGGAATATGGGACTTACAGCCAGAAGACTTGAATTTGAGCCTTATCATCACTAGCAGTGCTGTTGGCCAAGCGCAGTAACCAACCATTATGACTGTTTCTGTTTCTACATCTGCACAATGTGAATAATTCAAATACACATCTCCAGGGTTGCTGTAACAATCAAATGAGATCATTAAAATGAAAATTTGGAAAATGGAATGCCGTCTACAACTGTTAGCTATGACGATTGGTATTTTGTTTTTCAGCTTGCTCTCTTTCTCGCCATATTTTTTTTTCACTCGTGGAGATGATTTTTTCCTCCTAATATTTTAGATGGGCACATTCATCATCATGGCTTTTCTGAGGACAAAAGTCACCATGCTCTGCTTCCATAATTCAAACATAATGGAAATAGATAAGAGAAAAAGAGAACAACTTCCTGTCCCCACCCCCTAGAGATAACCAGGGCTGGTGTGTCCACTTCCCGGACATCTTACGTTGTTTATGAAACCGGTCTTTCCATGAAGCACAACAAAGGGGTGTGAGAGAAACGTCAGTGTATTTTTGTTTCCCTCTAGCCCTTTAAAGTTGATTCAGTGGGGAAATCTTCCCCTGCCACTGGCTAAACACTTGACAGGCCCCTCAATTTTCTTGTTCAGTTCTTAGGAACTAGACTATTGTACAATCACAAAACACAGTAGCAAATCAGAAACTAGGTATCCAGTCCAAGACTTTATTCATCAATTCAGGCTCCGTTAGAAGGAGAGACTTCCTTCCCTGCAAGTGATGATCTGGTTTTCTTACTTCTCTCCTCTTCCCTGCTTGCCGGCTTGGTCAAGTCAAGTGTGGCGAAGACAGGTGAGGGGAGACTCGGACCTCCTTACTCAGCTGCTGGCTGCCACTCTGGGCAGACAAATGCTTCGAGCTGACATCTCCTTTCCAGGGTGTTTTGGGGCCATCTTGGGGGTCCCCTGCTTGGCCCCCAGGCCTGGGGGATGCCTCTTCTTCAACTGGATCCTACCCAGTTCAGTCCTCAGGTCTCAGGATCCACTCCTCACTCAGACTCTCTCTGATGGAGGCCTTGGCCCTCCCCAGCCGTCTTTCTGGACTTAGATAGACTTTAAGTGGCTGCAGACTGGCTCTCTCTCCCTCTTGGCCCAGGATCTAGAAGAAATAGTCATGCATTCCGTGTCCATACACACGGATCCATGGGAGCGTGGCTGCTTCTCAAACGCAGCCAGCCACTCTCTGCCCTGCCACAAGCCACTTTTGCGTTGTCAGGCGTGAATCAGGCACCAATCCGTGGGGGCGTTCCCCAACTCCGAGAGACACAAACCCAGCTCTACAAGTGTCTGTAGAATCCCATCCTCTCTGGGCTCCAGATGAAGGGCCAAGCACTTCCTGGTCCCTGGCCCTCAGTAGCAGAACTCCTCAAATACATTTCCTCCCAATGTATCTCCACTTGCTTATATTCTCAAAATGGGCGACAGAATTCAAGGGTCCCAGAACCAGTTTTCAACATTTACTTTGAAGATTCCCCCAGGGTGACCTGTGTCATACCCCACGTGGTATCTGACATCTATCCTACCGTGTCAATTCTACTGAATCTTCAATTTTAACATCCAGTTCCATGAACTAATATATATGTCAATACAAATATTTTAACAAAATGTTCTATTATGGATACAGTTTTGCAAGTTTTTGTTCACTTAATATATCTCGGGCAGATTTTCGTGTCAGTACAGGTAGATGCGTCTCATTAACATAGGTTATTATAGTGTACAGACGTAAAGGGATTCCACTGTGGTTTAAGACAGTACTCTGGAGAGGATGGTCATCTAACCTCCGTACAGGCCTTGGCAAAGCAGTGGAGGTGGCAGCTCTGGGCCTGAGCTGGGTGGCAGTGATTCAGTGGGTGAGTGATGGAAGGGAAGATTGGAGAGAGCGTGACAGCTTTCCCTGAAGGGCTGTAATTCGAGCAGCTGCTGCACAGAGCTACGCTTTGGTCCCTGGGGTGTGCTGAGAATTTCAGTTATGGGATGGGGGCTAAAGGTGCAATCCTCCTACCTTTTCTCAGGGCCTAAATCCATTTCCTCATTGTTTAATAGCCCAAATGCCTCTTGGAGAAGCACTTTGACGCTCCAGGCCCTTCCAGGCTTCCTCTCTTTCTGCCATTGCTTGGGGTCAGGGGAAAGAGTGGTTGGGTAGGAAATGTTAGTAAGTGGGGTTAATTGAATTGGGGTTGAAGCAGGAGGGAGGATGTTATTCTAGAGACATGTGGAACATCAAGAGACCTGAATGGGATGAAGTGGGAAAGGAAGTTAAGAGCAAATACTTCAAATCCTTCTAATTCTTTTCACTCTTTGGATGGGCAAATCAGGATGTTTTCATCTTAGCTCCAGAATTACATAGCTTAGAGAAACAACCACCAAAACAGGCCGCTAATGGAGCTCCAGGCACAACCACTATGATGTCTCTTTCTGCTCAGTGGCCACGTCTCCATGGCCGTCCAGGTCACCGAGGTCCTAAGTTGTTAACGATCTGACTGTCTGAGGTGGTAAACATCCGGTGCAGATGTGCCCAGAGCGAAACTGCAATCTCATGACATAGGTGGGTTTTCATGGAAACGATGTGGGACAGCCACCCCCGTCACAGCCAGCGCCGCGGACCAGGGCAGGTCCACTCAGGTTAGACTGCTGAAGACAGAAGAAAGCCCCCAAGGGTGATGAGGACAGGGCTTCAGAAAAAAACTGGTTGGAACATCAAAGGATTAAGAAGCGCCCTTGGAAAACTGACGAAGCTCGGGGATGTTTTGTAGAAACAGTTCTTTTCACGGTCAGACTGTAAAATCAGCCGTGAAGCAAAGGATGCTGGATTGTACGGTTGTGTCAGAAAATTCACCCCCTCCCCAAATAAATAATTCATTGGTTTATTCTAAGACTTAGTTCACATTATAATGTGACCTAATCTAAACCTTCTTAATATAAATTTTTAATTAAAAAATTTTTTGGGGCCACACCATGCGGCATGCGGGATCTTAGTTCCCCAACCACGGATCGAACCTGCTCCCCCTGCAGTGGAAGCATGGAGTCCTAACCACTGGACCGCCAGGGAAGTCCTTAAATTTTTAAAAATTTAGAGTTTTTCATGTTATCTACTTTCATTTTTCTAGTTAAGTCCCAATCAAAAACTTTTTTTAATTTAATTAACACGAAATTTCATTCCCTATTGGAAGTAGATTCTGTTTAAGTAGCTTTTCATGCTCAGATAATGAGGGCCCTTCTATGGCATACATACACAACAAAAAGCAGATTTTCAAAGTTTAGCAATCAATCGACCATTCCCCAGGTTGATGTTAAAAATGGAAGAAAGGCTTTTTCGATCAAGGGTCCAATCCAATAAAGTTCTCATTCCCTGGAGCTCTTCATGACCTAGATAGGAGGAAACTCAGTAAGAGTCTGAGCTTTCCACAAACACTTGCCATCAACCAGACAAGCAGTTCCACTACTGAACACATTTTCTGCATACCAAGCTCTTAGAGAATTATAAAGGAGATATAAGGCAGTGAAAAACACAATTCTTGATCTCCAGAAGATTGCAGTACAAACACACACATTTATTTATGAACTCGAAATAAGAAGCCTTTGGAAAATATAAATAACCTTAAACACTGCTTGCTAGAACTTGTCCTGAACAGGTCATATTTATTCCCACGGGACTTTTTGTTTTCAGGCAATGGCTGGTATGCGAAAATAGCTCTTGCATTAACAGTGGTAACCATTTCGGTCCTGGGAGAGAAAACGTAACCATTTCAAATGGGAAAAAATGGAGCAGCTTCTAAATAGAACCATGAGACAGGTTCCCAGCATCTTGGCGATCATCATACATCTTGTTCTGTGGTAGCAGCACCTCAGGGCCTGTGGGGTTTGGGGAAGCACAAGGGTGGAGAGCCGTGGGGAGGGGGGCTTGCAAAACCCAGATCTGAGCATCATTGGGCAATCAGAGCACCTGGGCATTAACAAGTCTGGATTCGGATCCTAGATCTGTCACCTATTCATCACCTGTCACCTATTCATCGCAAGCCAATGAAACTCTCTTGAGACTCAACTTCTTCGCTTGTAAACATTTCTAAAAAAATAATAAATTTTTCATCTGGGTGTTGTCAGAATGATAAAGTAAAGAAAGTGGCAGAGTCTCTGACTTATAGAAGGTGCACGATAAAAACAGTTCTTACCTCACCATTGTCATTATCGTTATTAATATTTATTTTATAGTACAGAGTTAGGGGGAATGCCTTTGATTTTTTTCAAAATAAATTTTTAGTCACACTCTTGTTGACAATAATCCAAATTCTATGTTCCTTATCTCCTCTTGTCTTGAGATCTTTAGTCCCCAAAATTTTCATCGGTATTTCCCCCTGTATTAAATCATTCCCATTAGCACACAAGTTCCAGAATCTCACACCTGGAACAAAAAACAAAACCCCCAGCATCTTCCTTTGTCCCTCCCATCTCCCTCCAGAAAGTGCTCCCATTTCTCTGCTGCTCTTTATTTTTTTAACTTTATTTTTTATTTTCTACTTTATTTATTTAGGTTGCGCCGGGTCTTAGCTGTGGCACGTGAACTTTTAGTTGCGGCATGCATGTGGGATCTAGTTCCCTGACCAGGGATCGAACCCGCGGCCTCTACACTGGAAGAACGGAGTCTTAACCACTGCGCCACCAGGGCAGTCCCTCTCTGCTGCTCTTTAGAGCAAGACTTTGCGAAGGCCTGGTTTGGTACAGCCACCCTCACCCTCACTCCCATTTTCCCTTAAACCTTCTTGAATCATGTTCCTGTCTCCACAATTCCACTGAGATCCCTCCGGTCAAGGTCACACACACCTTCGTTTCCCCATCCAACGGTCTTCTCTTACTTGACCCTTCAGCAACACGTGGCACTGTTCCTTCCTCTGGACGCACTTCTCCCAGGGAGCTTCCATGATATCACACACATGGGTCTTTCTCCTGCCTTTCTGGTTGCTCTTTTTTCCTTGACCTTGCCTCGATATCTCAAGCCTGAAGCATCACTAAACTGTGGAGCACAGCAAGGATCAGCCCCACGAGCTTCTCCATCTCTGCTGGCTGCCTAGGTAATCCCCTTCGGCCCGTGGGCTTAAATAGCATTCATGACCTTGACTCTGAGGGAGAGATAGATGGATAGACACAGGGAGGGGCATAGTTTTCCAGCCCCCACCTCTCCTCTGACTCCCAGCCTCCTGTGTCCATCTGCTCATAAGATATTACCTCCCAGATGCAGAAAAGCATCTGAAATCTAAAAAGTACCTGGATGCCCACTGCACTCTCATCCCCCATCTGCTCCTCCTTCAGGATTCTGATTCTCAGTAAGTGGCACTGCCCTCCACCGAGGTGCTCCAGCCACGAACCTGAAAACCACCCAGAGTCCTCCCTCCCCTCCCCTCCACTTGCACAACTACCCTGAACCCGCCCAGTTCTCTCCAGATTCTTTGCAAGCCCTACCATTGGGTGCTGGGGCTACTGCAGCCTCCTAGTCAATGTCCCTGTTTTCACTCTCGCCCTCCCCGCCTCACACACACCTATTCCCCACACAGGAGCCAGGTGATCTTCCCAAAAGTATGAGTCAGATTGTGCCGCTCCTCTTTTGAAAACCCTTACATGACTTTCCACCATCCTTAGAATAAAAGCCTCACTTGATGCAGGAGACTCTGTAACATCTGGTCCCTGCCTCCCCCCACTCCCTGCCTGTATTCCCTCTCACCCGTCCCCTCCAGCCGCCCTGGAGGGGCCTCCCTTCTGCTCCTCTATTCTTCCTCGGGCCTCCGCAACGTCTAATCCCTCCATCTGGAATGCTCTTCCCAGCAATGTTCACGTGTCTGCTTCTCGTCACCAGGTTTCAGCTTGAATGCAGCTCCTCAGACAGGGCTTCCCTGACTGTCCAACCAAAGGAACCCCCTTCATGCTCCATCCCAGAGCCTGTGTTAAGAATTTGCATCACACATACATATCACCATCTGATACTTTCTTGCTTGTCATCTCCTCTTACAAGAATGGGGGCCTCCTGGGAGATGTCCTGACCACCATCTTTGCTGTCCATTACAGAGTCGGCATTTCTAAGTAAGTATTTGTTAAATGAAGGCATCATCTAACAGTCAGTTGTCAAATACCTGCGTAAGGAGACACCCTATGTGCATTATCAGTGGATTTAATCCTGCACTTTCTTTTGGGAAGTGGAAGAGCGGATATTGGTGGCGACATCTGCTTTTCGTGTTAAGGGAAAATACTCTAAAAAATGCAAAGCAATTTTAGTATCAGATATTCCTCTCCCTCCCCTCCTCAGAATTTACACAATATTTCATGACAAAATTTTAAAAACACAAATACCATGAACAACACAGGGGTTTACTGCTTTAGATGATCCTTGATACATTTCCATGAACGGCCTTCTCTGGGGGTGGTCTGTACTCTCCTCCTGCACGCACTTAACAAGCAGCACTGTGTTCCAGGAGCTTACCTATGAGAAGGCGAAGATGAACCTGGTTCTGCCTGCCCTGCAAGAGCTCACAGTCTAGGGAGCAGAGAGACACAAAGACTGGTTGCCAATCAAAGGTGGAACCAGGTGCAGGATGCCTGACGCCCCAGCAGGGACACCCAGCCCTGGCTTCAGGAAGGGATGCCTGTAGCGGGACCAGCAAGGCCACTGCAGGCATGAGCTGGGCAAGGCGGGGTGGGGGGCTGCCAGGCAGAAGGTCAGCAGGGGCAATGGGAACGCTTGGGATTAAAGTACACAGCAGGTGCACCCAAGGAACTCTGCAAATACCAGACAACAGCTCAAACTACTTGTGTTAGTTTGCTCGGGCTGCCACAACCCAAGTACCACGGGCTGGATAGCTTCAACGGCAGAAATGTATATTCTCACAGCTCAGGAAGCCAGAATTCTGAGGTCAAGGCGTGGGCAGGGTTGGTTTCTTTTGAGGCTTCCCTCTCTGGCTTGCCGACGGCCATCTTCTCCCTGTGTCTTCACGTGGTCTTCCCTCTGTGTGCGTCTGAGTCTCAGTCTCTTCTTCTTATGAGGACACCAGTCATACTGGACTAGGGCCCACCCATAAACTACCCCTTTAGAGACCCTGTCTCCACCAGAACCTACTGTAGCACAGGGATCTATGCTCAATATTTTGTAATAACCTGTAAGGGAAAAGAATCTGAAAAAGAACATTTTAAGTATATATATATATATATATATATATATATATATGGATTCAGATATATATATATCTGAATCACTGTGCTGTACATCTGAAACTAACATGACACTGTAAATCAACTAGACTTCAATTTAAAAAAAAGACCCTATCTCCAAATATAGTCACATTCTGAGGTCTGGGGCCTTAGGACTTCAACATATAAATTTTGGGGAAACACGATTCAGCCCATAGTATTAGAGAACAAAGAAGGAAATTTTATTATAAAGACATCAGGATGTCACAAGACAAGGATGCAATGGATCATGGGAAAGTCTCTGTCTCCCTCCCTCTCTCTCTTTCTTCCATCTCTGCTTCTCTCTCTTGTATGCAATTGTACAAACAGAGTTTAAAGAAGAAGAAGAAGAACCGTCTATGTAATTGTTCCCTAAGAAATAGATCCTTCTTAGAAACACTGTTTCTAGTAAGCCCCTTCTCAATGGCTTCCCTTCCTCCTTCTGAATTTCATGTCAACTCCCCGCCTTTCTCCTTTGTTCCACCCAATAAGTACATATTCCTAGGCAATATCTTTAGTTTTGCCTATCTTATTCTTCATAGAAATGAAATTGCATGGTGTATAGTATATGACATGCGTTCCTCAGTGAACATTGTATTATTGGATTCAGGTACATTGATGCATGCTGCTGTAGTCTGTTTTCTGTTGTGTAATTTAGATGACCATTGTATGACTATATTATCACACAGCCACCCTACCAGTTATGACCACTTGGTTGTCCCCAGTATTCTGCTGTTAGGAACGAGGTTGCTGAGGACTTCTTGTACAACTGTCCTGGTACACATGTGCTGGAAACAGTATATATATACCTAGGATATATTTCTTAGCAGTAGAGCTTCCTGGTTGTAGGTTCTGCACATGTGGGATTCACTTGTCACTGCCAAATTAGTTTCCAAAGTGGAAATTTCCATTTCTCCATAGTCTCTCCAGCACTTAGTATTGTTAGACTTTTTAATTTGGAGCCGAGTGTAAAGAGTGTGAAATAGTGTCTAATTGGTGCCTTTAATTTTCCTTGCCTTGTTTGGTAAATGAGATTGTGCACATTTTCTTATATTTATGGACTGACCACTCATGTTTCCTTTTCTATGAAGTACCTTTTCATGACTTTGCCCATTTCCCTATTGGGTTGTTTTGTTTTTTTGTATCTAGTTGTTTTGTTAATTTGTATATTTTGTATATTGATCCTTTGTCAATGGTATGTATTGAAAATGTTCTTTCCCAGTTTTTTTTTTTATTCTCATAAGTTGTCTTACAATGAGCAAACATTTTTATTTTTAATGTATTTGAATTTATCTTTATTTTCCTTCATAGTTCGTGTTTTTTGCATCTTATTTTAAAAATCTATACCTACTCCAAGCTTATAAATACATTCTCCTAATTGTCTTCTAAATTTTTTCATAGTTTTTGCCTTTTGATTTTGTCTTTAAGTCATGTAGAATGAATTATTTATTTATTTTTGGCTGTGTTGGGTCTTCATTGCTGCAAGCGGGCTTTCTCTAGTTGCAGCGAGAGAGGGCTACTCTTCATTGCGGTGCGCAGGTTTCTCATTGCAGTGGCTTCTCTTGTTGTGGAGCACAGGCTCTAGGCGCATGGGCTCAGTAGTTGTGGCTCGCGGGCTCTAGAGCACAGGCTCAGTAGTTGTGGCACATGGGCTTAGTTGCTCCACGGCATGTGGGATCTTCCCAGACCAGGGCTCGAACCCGTGTCCCCTGCATTGGCCAGCAGATTCTTAACCTCTACGCCACCAGGGAAGCCCCTAGAATGGATTTTTAATGTGTGTGGGAGCAATCCAACTTAATTTTTTCCTGTATGTAGAGCCAATTGGTTGGATCAATAGCATTTATTGAATTGCCCACCCTTTTTTCACGAATCTTCAGTGCCTGTCCAGTCATAAATAGAGTTTCCACATTGACATTAGTCTGTTCCATTTGTCTGTCTAGCCTTGTGCCAATACCAACAGTCTTTACTACCACGTAATGGGTCTTATATAACAAGTCAAGACACATCTTCAGGAACCTTTTGACCCTTCTTCACCCTTTGCTCTTCTTCATACATTCTAGGATCATTTTGTCAAGTTCCAGGCAGGGAGGGATCGGGAAGAACTTTTGGGACCTCAATTTAAAATGAATTGATCAATATAGGAACAGTTGATATTAACGCTTTCCATCTATGAATATAATACATCTTTCCACTTATTTTGTCCATCTTTAATGTCAGTCCACAAAGTTCTAAAATGTTTTCATAAAGAGCTTCCTCATTTTGGAATATTTCTCCCTTGCTCCTTTATACTTTTGCTGCTACTGTAAATGGTATCTTTTTTAAAAATTATATACTTTGTAACTACTTTTGCTGGTGTATAAAAATGCAATTGTCATTTGTGCATTGATTTTGTATTCAGCAGCCTAGCCAAACTCTTACTGATTTTCATAATTTTTCTATATAGTCTTTTGGGTTTTCTATGTAGACAAGCATATCATCAATAAATAATAAGAGGTTTATTTCTTCCTTTCTAATCTTCGAATGGTGGACAAAGATGAAAAATACTTTGCAGTTATAATCAGAAAGCCTTGAGATTTGTTGGGTTGAAAGGGTGAGAAAAAGGGAAGAATCAAGAATATTTCCCCACTCAGATTCTATAGATTCTGTATGGTGGCAAATGGTGTCCCTATCTGAAAGTCTGCAAAAGGAAAAACACCTTAAATTAATTTAAAACAAATAATATACACAGATGGGTAAATTAAACTTGTTTTAACCTGTATAGAATGGCATCATGTCCTTAGCTTTTATCATCACCAGCTTTGCTGAATGACGGTGATAGAGTCATGGCTATATTATGTGATCGCAAAGTACAGTATCTATAAAGTGTGACCATGTAGATTCATTTTCTAAGGAGTTTTGGAAAATAAATGAGCAATATTATTGTCACCTCATTACCATGGGGTCTCCTTTTAAAACAACTGCATCACTTCAGTCAGCTTTAAAATTGTGCATTATGGTGCTGTAATATAATCCCTCTTGAGGTTATACATATTTGGAGGTATTTATTTTCAATGATCAAAAATCCCCCCAAGAAAAGCTGAAAGGTGGCTGGGGGCTGGGAGAGGGGATGAACCTTAGGTCAGTGAATATGTGCTATGGGGAGGTGCTGGGATGGCCCTTCCGAGGACCCTGGGGATGTGGAGGAGAAGAGATCTCAGCAGATACTTGGAAATGTTCCTTAGAGGAGGGCATGATTTGTTGAATTAATTGGGGGAAATGCAGAAGAGGAACACGGTTTTTCCCCATAAAAATTAAAGATGTGGAGATCTGGATTAGAAAATTTCAAGTCTGCACTCACTTAAATATCCTCAGACCCAATCAAAGGAGCATAAAATAAATCAAAGATAAAAATCTAATGTTTTTAATAAGAAAAGCTGACAGAACTAAGACTTATGAAAGTTGGCAAGAAAATGTTTGCTTTTGTTTTTCCAGTGTCTACATTTACAAAGGAAGAACCTTCTACAATTGCAAAAAGAAAACTGCTGAAGAGCCTCTCTTAAAGTGAGACAGAAATATTCAACCATGGTTCATGATCGTTGTTTGAAAAATGAAAGTAAGAGATGAACTGCTTTCTCTTGGGAGAGATCCTTCTAATTTGGTATGTAGGGTGGCAATGGGCTTTGGGATCTGACAATTTCATGGTGTATTTTTCCACACACTCGAATATGATTCAGATTTCACATTTGCGTTGTCTGAGAAGCCTAGTCAAGTCAAGTGGAGAGGTTGTCCAAAAAAGAGAGAGGCTTCATCTAATTCCATAAAGATTGTTTCCACTAACTCAGCTAAATTTGAGATACACAAAAATTATACAGCCATATTTTCCATGTTTATCATAAAACATTTTCCAATAGGAAAAATAATATTTTTAAAAAGAACTTGAGGGGGCTTCCCTGGTGGTGCAGTGGTTGAGAGTCTGCCTGCCAATGCAGGGGACACGGATTCGAGCCCTGGTCTGGGAAGATCCCACATGCCGCGGAGCAACTAGGCTCGTGCGCCACAACTACTGAGCCTGCGCGTCTGGAGCTTGTGCTCTGCAGCAAGAGAGGCCGCGACAGTGAGAGGCCCGCGCACCATGATGAAGAGTGGCCCCCGCTTGCCACAACTAGAGAAAGCCCTCACACAGAAACAAAGACCCAACACAACCAAAAATAAATAAATTAATTAATTAATTAAAAAATGGCAAAAGAGAGAATTTTAAAGGCAGCAAGAGAAAAAGAGTCATATACAAGGGAATCCCCATAGAGCTATCAGTTAATATCTCTGCAGAAACTTTAAAAAAAAAAAAAAAAAAGAACTTGAAACTCGCAATTGTAACGTTAGTCTTCTGCTAATATAATTCAGTAAGGACTTAGCAAGTATACGATTTCTGAATTACCTGAGAGTTGTACAAAATGATTATTAAGATCTCTCTTAAGAGTCTATGGCTCTAAATTTATGAACTTTTTGTGAGGAATGGGTGTCACAAAAATTACTACCAATGAAGGGCTGGGTTTAATGCTCTGTCCTCACTGCCAGGTTCCACTGGGTTGTAGTCAGAAACCCAAGAAACACCTAAAGGAGATGGCCACACCCTCAGCAAAGTTTTTCTACCTCCCCTTACCATCCTTTTCCAAAATACGAAAGGAATGACTATCTGGGGGGCTGGTGACGGCTGGAGCATGATTTTCATCAACTGGCACGGGCACCAGGGTTAGGAGGTGACAGGACATCGCTGGAGAAAGTGGAGGGTGGCGCTTTATCACGGAAGAAGCTTTAATGCTGTCAATTAATCATGAGTGCAGAACTAAACTGAAAACTTTCCATCGGCAAATTCAACAGTATGCAGTGCTAAAACAGACATCTTCCTTGATTCTTCTTTGCCTGA